GTGCATGTATGTGTGAGTGTGTATGAGTGTGTATGTGTGTATTTGAGTTTGTGCCAGTATGTTTGTATGTGTGTGTATGCTGCTTGTCTCTGCATAGGAATGTGTGCGTGTGTGCATACATGGCGCGTCCTTGGATATCATGGAAGCGACCACTTGCCGTGCATAGTGCTTGTCAGGAGTAGAAAACCCCTCCAAAACCGACAAGAAGACAAAGACATTCGCGTATGAAGTCAACGGCAAAGCCCCTACCATTAGTCTCAGGAAGAAGGCAATCTTAGTCACGAGGATGAAGCAAGTGGAGATCACCTAGCGGCCATGTTGGATTGAGGAGCTGGACAAATTGTGGAGAGCAAAACGGAAGGCGTTACAAGCATGCCAACGTATCCGAGAGAACCAACCAGACCTGAAAAGAGCAGAGAAGGAAGCTTCAGAGTTATTTTAGGTTTTTGATGGGTTTAAAAGAGACGATGAGACTCTGATAGTTGCGCTTGACCTGGAGAAAGCCTACGATAGGGTTGAGTACGATGTCCTTTTGAGAACAATGATCAATCTGAAGATTAGCCCCATGCTCTTGATATGGGTAGGGGAGACATAGCTGGAAAGGAGAGTTGCAATGCGGCTTGCAAACTGGACACCTACCACCAGATACATCACATCGGAGTTGCCGCAAGGATCATCATTCTCACCAGTGTTATTCAACATACGGTTTGAATCACTTTGGGACAACTGGAAGGCTGGGGGCGAGTGCTGAGCTTTGTGAACGATGTCCTTGTATACAGGCAGGGTAAGGACCGGCAAGAAACGGCTAACGCGGTGCAGCAGGAGCTGGATCGAATTGGCAGATGGTATGTAGACCACAACGGCAAATTCCACCCCTACAAGCACGTGTGCTGTGGTGCTCGCTGAATAATTATGCGGTGAAAGCAGAGATGTCTACAGTCACAATCAACGACAGGGTCGAGAAACGTGAGCACTCATTAAGGTATCTAGATATCATCTTTGACAGATCATTCTGAGGTAAAGATCACAAAACCAGGATCGTCGCAAGAGCCAGAAAAGGTCTGACTGAATTGAAAACTTTTGCATGTAGCAGAATGCCTCCGAAAATTTTAGCCAAACTATACCAGACTCTCGGGCTGTCTGTGATAGACTGTGGCGTCGGTCTCCGCACCTTATCAACGTCGCAGCTGAAACGCCTTGAAAGAATTCAGAACGAAGGTATGCGGAATGTTCTTGGGTGCACACAAGACACATCTTACCAGGCCATGCGTTATCTCCTGGACATCTAAGCAATGGTAGAACGTCACGAGATTGCTCAGGATAAAGCATAGTGAGAGTTAGCACCGATGATCAGCACCCACTGCATGATAGAGTGGGAAGAACTGTACGCATACGTCTACTAAGATGGACTGAGTGGATGAATGAGGCTGTGACGACCGTGGCTAAAAGCTGTGAAGTGCAAGACATCCGAAAAGGCAGCGCATGGGTGAGCGTCAATACTACACTTGGGCAGTGTACTCGAGTGGCAGCAACCTTAGGCAGAGAATGTCGTGGGTGGCCATAGGGAGCAGCCAATGCTGAGGTAGAGACGCTGTTAGAGGAGAACAGTGAATAGGGGGACGTAGTCATCTCCACAAATGGATCAGTACAGCGTGGAGTCAAATCTGGATAGGCTTTCAACGCCCGTGTTAATAGGTTCATACAGAGAGAGAGAGCTGTCAGGCATAAGCATGGAGAAGAAAAAGCCACCAGAGAAGCCCTTAAGACAATAAAATATCCGTCTGACATCCTCGTCACCGACTCGATGAGCACCCTCGAAAAAGTGAAGAAACACATGATGTATGCAAACTAGCCATAGACAATACAAAGCAGCAGACTCACACGGATTGTGTAGATCTTTAGCCCAGGTCATGCAGGAGTTCAAGGCAATGAACGAGCTGATAAGCTAGCCGGCCAGGCTAGTGGCACCATGGAATTAGATTTACCAACAGCCATGGCAGTATTGGCAGCATGGTTCAACGACCACAGAGAAGATGACGGCACAACATCACACACAATGGAAAGACTAAAGGAAACTGGTGTCTCTAGAGGGTCGGGGAGCGACAGGAACCTGCATGGCAAAGCCAGAAGATTTTCAGCCAGCTGATAACTGGCACGATCAGCAAGCAAACACTTTCATGGATCCTGGAGAGGAGGGCGGAGCAGCTATGGCATTGTGCCGCCTGCAATAATGCCTATTCTCCAAGCAAGCAAGCAAGTAAGTAAGTAAGCAAGCAAGTAAGTAAGCAAGTAAGTAAGTAAGTAAGTAAGTAAGCAAGCAAGCAAGCAAGCAAGCAAGCAAGCAAGCA